CATGCAGCTCGCCACGAGGCATGTGGAGCTCATCGGCGTATTTGCATGGATGAGCCAGGTGGATTGTGGACCGATGGTTGGTGTCGTCTCACCCCTGCATGAGCTGCCGTCTTTGCTCAGTCCACTTCGTGAAGAAGAGCTTGGATTCTTGTCTTACGATGTCCGACGAGGCCTTGTCGCTTCTTTGGCAGCGACAGAAAGGCATATTACCTGGGTGTGAAGGTTCTGTTCTGATTGCATCTTCAGCTAACGCTCTGTACTGAGTTCTTGTCATCTGTTGTCATCTTTCAAACCGTTGGTTGAACCTAGCCTTCACTGGTACTATGGTCTTTGCATCTACCTTCCAAGCCTCTTGGCAGATAGGCGTTCTCGCCATCTTTGGGGCTGCAGTTGCTTCGGTCAGTCTTGATGCCCGTATCTGATGTGCGTTACTTACAAACATAGACGTTTGTGTATGCGGTCTACCACTTATTCTTCCACCCACTTGCACACTTTCCAGGTCCGTTCTGGGCCAAGTTCACATGTCTCTATTCTGGCTATCATGCATGGAAAGGTGATTTGCATATTGACATGCAGCGTTGCCATGAGAAATACGGTATGTCCTCTGTTCGTCTGGCTGGTTGTGCTCTAATTTCTAACTGTTATAGGGGACTTTGTTCGCTATGCGCCGAACCAGCTCTTGATCAACACATCCATTGGGCTTCATGGTATGCTACCTATTGTAGCCAAAGAATTCTAGCTAATAGCATAAGACATCTACGGCTTCGGACGCAACACTCAGAAATCCAAGCTCTACAGTGCCATGGTCCATCGCGCCCCGAACACCCTCACCCTTATCGACAAGAAGGCACACGGCCGAAAGAGACGTATCATAAGTCAAGGTCTTTCTGATGCTGCACTAAGGCGATATCAGCCTGCTATTCTCAAGCATATCAATGAACTGTGTGGTGCACTTGTGGGCAGCAAGCCCAGCGAGTGGTCTGTTCCACGGAATGTCGCACACTACTGTAAGATTCCTCCTTCTATGTCGAGATCATTACTAACGAACACAGTCAACTTCCTTACCTTCGACATCATGTCCGATGTCCTCTTCGGCGAACACTACAACATGGTCACAAGCAAGGAGCACCGCTACGTTGTCAAAGCGATCGAGGACTCAAACGTCCGGACATCGGTCCTCGCTCAGGCCCCTATTCTTGCTTTCCGGCGCTGGGACCGTAAGATCTTCGCGGAGTCTATCCTCGCCAGAAATAAATTCATCCAGTTCGTGAATACCCTCCTTCAGCGGAGATTCAAAGCTGCCAAGTCCGCCCGTCAGGACGTTTTCACCTTCCTGCTGGATGCAAAGGATCCCGAGACTCAGCAGAGTCTGTCTCTTGCTGAGATTGGTGCTGAAACGACTACCCTTGTTGTAGCCGGTACATATACTTCCCCTGTCTTTATCTATCATTTAGCTAACTTATATCGAAATATCCCAGGCTCCGACACCTCCTCGACAGCCTTCTCCTCGTGCCTCTTCTACCTCTCCCACAACAAGGACTGGTACAACCGCGTAGCCACCGAAATCAGAAACACCTTCTCCTCCCCGGAAGAAATCACCCTCGGTCCCCGCCTCAGCTCCTGCATCTACCTCCGTGCTTGCATTGATGAATCTCTTCGCATGTCGCCTCCCGCCGGATCCGCCCTCTGGCGCGAAGTCGGCCCCGGCGGCGCCACCTTCGATGGCCACTTCATCCCCGCCGGCTTTGACGTCGGAACGGGGATCTACGCCATCCATCATAACGAGAATTATTACCCCGAGGCTTTCAGTTTCCGCCCTGAACGATGGATACTGGCTGGTGCGGAAGGCGACATTGAGGCCGTGGGTACGGCTGATCGAGACAGTCTGGCTAAGGCGCAGGGTGCCTTCAATCCTTTCTCCATCGGACCGAGAGGATGTATTGGAAAGGGATTGGCCCTGGCGGAGCTGACACTTGGTATTGCCACGATGTTGTGGAGGTATGACTTTGTTTTGAGTGAGGGGAAGGGTGTGGCTCTTGGTGCGGGAAGGAAGGGATTGGGGCCTGGCAGGGAGAGGGAGAACGAGTATCAGTTGTATGATCATATTACAGCGTCGAAAGAGGGACCAATGGTTTGTTTTAGGGAGAGGGCGTAGTAGATGGTGCGGGTTCGTGGTGGGTTATGAGGGCTCAATCTTTGAATTCTTAAGATATTACCGGTTGGATTTGAGGGAAATATGTGTTTATGTTGATTGTTGTATAGGATGAGGTTCTACATACTTGAATGTAATCTATGTGACCGTATGCATGCCTGAAACACTAGTAACGGTGCGTTGCCGTCCGTGCCCCTGTTGTAGTTGTCCTCCAAGAGCATGATGATGTTGACCCTCTGCTTCTTACACATGTCTCATAAACTCCATTCAACACGATACTCTGATTGTATTTAGTTCAATGGTACACTAGAATGGTCTCCTCACCCTAGACTTGAGGTAATACGCTCTTTTCTAGTAGTGTTACAGTAAAAGCTACCTCGAGCACGCCAACTAATGGTTAGCTAACTAAGTTACCTGCCAGTGTACCAGACACATATAATTCTATATACTATCCAAGTGTGTAACTGAAGCAATCATAGTGGGTTGTAAATGTCCTTGAAAAACGTAGCTTGAGTTACAATAAGTAACCATAGGAAGGAAATCATGTTTGCAATAAATCTATGAGGTGATACGGTACAAACTATATAATTGATTAACATGCAACTATGATTCAAATACAGCCCAACAAGATAGGACCCAATCTAATGAACACCATTTTCAATACCATTCGCCTTCTTACCACCCGGGTACTTCTCATACACCGTCTCCGGTGCCTTCACAGCCTCTACCCACTCAGCAAACTCCTCTCCAGTCTCTCCCCGCTGAATCTTCCTCAACCGCGTCAACAACTCCAAACACAACGGCCCACTCACAAACTCGAGTTTCTCCCCGGTCGACCTTCGCGTAATAGACCTGATAGGAACCACAGCAGCTGCAGTTCCAGCCGCCATGACCTCAGTGAACTGGCCAAGTGTATCCCAGGGCACCTAAGCAGCAGTCAGCACATGCATCCCCCAAGGGAGAGAACAGATACACATACACTCCTCTTCTCCACCACCCACCCAAGACTCTTCGCGATCCCCTGCACTGAATCACTCGTCACACTATCTATAACACACTTACTATCCGGTACAACCAGCCTAACCACCTCTCCATCCTTAACAATACCCAGGAAGCTCGACGTTGAGAACTCATCCACCTCCGTCTGCGACTGGCTATCTAAATGCAAAGTAAGCGGAAACCCCTCTTTTCTCGCCATCTCCGTATACTTCATGACAGGCGCGTAATTCCCGCCGACCTTTCCATGGCCCGTGCCCCGGGGCGCCGCACGATCAAATTCCTCGATTACCAGCGCATCTGCAGCCCCGGTGCCGTGATAGGTGCCGAAGGGCTGCACATATACACAGAAGAGATACTCGCGGGGCGGAGTGAGGGCGAAATGTCCCCCTGCGCCGAAAGCGAGTGGGCGGATGTAGAGCGCCGCATTAGTGGAGTGGGGTGGCACGAAGGCGGCGTTCTCGGATACGGCGAGGCGGACGGCGTCGAGGAAGAGACTGTTTGGAATGGGAGGAATGGAAACTAGGTCGGCGGAGTGGGCCATGCGAGAGGCGTGCTTGTCAGGGCGGAAGAGGAGAATCTCTTCGTTGGCATTGCGGGTGGCTTTGAGACCTTCGTAGATTTGTTGACCTACTGCGGTTAATACCATTGGAGGGTGTGTGAGAAGTGGATTGGGTGTACCATAGTTGAGCCCCGGGGCGAGACCGTGGATGCGGAGATAAGGGTCTTTGACAAAGGTTGGGGCTTCCCAAGTTTGGGTCGTTGGGTTGAATTTGCATTCGACGTGGCCGTTGACTGCCTGGGTTAGATGTGGTATACGGTTGGGGGTGTAGATAGAATGTACCGATGTCGTTCACAGCGAGCCCAAGTTTCGACCAGTCTGTGGTTGTTAGTGATGTTTGTGGAGGATGAATTAGATGGATGTACCAAGGTCAGCTGCTGGAGGTGCGAAGGTCATTGTGCAGGTTACAGTGTACTTTGCGAAACGTGCGGACAGTGAGTATGGTAGAGGGATAATGAGGATGCTACAGAAGCAAACGAATGTCGAGATAAAAAGAGCCGAGAGTCACAATGCTAATGCAATATCAAGCACGTTCCAATCCACTAGACTTGCCACATATTTGGCCCCATGCCGAGTAAACGATGTACACCCTTCTGTGCTCGTAAATGCAGCATTCTCGTGCGTTGAACAGATAAGCAATTTGACACATCATAAGCATCGGCCAAGTGTTTCATCCTGAGGCTGAAGCTCTCGTGTTCGGAGATTGTTGGCACATTGGCAAAGTTGTAGTTTCGGCAGGATCGAGCTCTGCTGCAGGTGCATCTAACCTGACCTGGCTAGAAACGCGATCTGCGAATCGAGCGCAGTTACGAACGATATTCTCGGATATCGGTTGTGTCTCTCCCGCTGACGTGAGACTAGCCCCAGTAGCATCCCCGTATAGCAACGTGCATAGCTGTGTTTCTTATTATCTCTCTTGGTTGGAATTGAGTTCCGCAGGAAGCCGATCAGGCCACGAGGTCCCCATATGGTATTATTACTAGTGTATTGTTATCATGTCCTAAGACGAAATTACTTACGGTACATACAGACATACAGTACACATTGTATCACCGTCACTGAAACCTGACTCCACCCTAATTCATCGTCTTGCACTCCCAACTCATGTCAAGCATCCACATTCCCTTAGTAGATGCATCAAGATCCTTCAGATTTACGCCGTGAATCCACAGGACGCTAGCAGGAAGCCCATAGAACCTCAATAACGCATCAATTATAGCAAATCCCATTCATTCTACCAATAACGCTGCTCTATCGTCTGCAAAATCCCCGAGAAAAGAACCACCACACTCATAGCCTAGCCCCCCGCTCATCAAATCGCACCTTCTCCCCACTTCCCAGAGAGTCCTGCAACGCCTTCGCAATCCTGACGGCCTCCACTGCACCCTGAATCCCCATAGGCAGCTCCGTATCATCCAAACAAGCCGCCGCAAACTCATTGACCTCGTCTACGAACGCCATCTCGAAACGCTCGTAGTAATGCGCGGGCAACTCGCGTCTCGCCCCATTTCGATCAAAGATCCCCACCAGGTTCTTCTGCGCATGACCATTGACCACTAACTTTCCCTCCGTTCCAATAATCTCCGTCGTATCTTCCTGCCCCGCCGCCATCATCCGCGAACAATACAGATACGCCACCCGGCCCCCATGAAACTCGATAATCCCCACCGCGTTATCCGCATCCCCGTAAGCCTTGAGCTCTGGATGCAGGGCCACGGTCCCACTAGCTACCACGCTCTTCACCTTGCTGTCAGCGCCAAAGAACCACAGGATCAGATCGATGTCGTGGACGGAGCAGTCGCAGAAGATCCCGCCTGAGGTGGCGGCGAAATTCACGAAGGCACCGGTGGGGTCAATCTTGTCGCATGTTTGGCTGCGGATGATGGCAGGCGTGCCGATGAGGCCTGCTCTCATCTTGGAGTAGGCGTCTCTGTAGGAGATGTCGAAGCGACGAGAAAAGCCGCACATGACTTTTAGCTCGGGGTGGAGGGTTGCTGCGTCGACGACGGATTGACACTAAATGCTTACTTTTAGTTATGAACGTTGAGATGATGACGCTTGTTGGTTTGAGATAAACATACGATAGCGGCGTCTGTTGAGAGGGGCTTCTCGCAGAGCACATGCTTTCCCGCTTCGATGGCTTTGATAGCTTGTTCGGCGTGCACGGTGGTAATGGTGGAGACGAGCACAGCTTCAAGACCGCTGTGGCCTAGCATAGCATCGTAGTCTGAGTAGATAGTCACTCCGTAGGGAACCAGATTGGCCTCAGCCCATACGGCCTCAACAGGGTCTGGGGTAAAAGCTGCCACCAGGGACGACCGGGGAGACCGGTGCAGGATGTTCAGGGCGTGACGTTTGCCCATGCGACCTAGGCCGGCGCAAGCGATCTGAAGGGTACGAGGAGCCATTGCTGTAGTGAGAATATTTTCAATTGAAGATTGGATGTTGAGGTTTGGAGATGTGGACAGACAGTGACTGAGATATTTATATTGACTGGTCAAGTCTTTAGCCTAGCTAGGATTGAGATACAGGTCGATGAGGCGTGGAGTGGCCCGCCTCGCTCATAAAATTAGGATCGGTGGATATACGCTGTTGGGATATCGTGAGCACTGTTTGGTGTTCGAGGCATGCATGGGTCAGCTCGGCTTGTGTTGTACGTCGTATTTGAGATCATGCCTCGGTTGTGATCCCTGCAATAGACAAGAACATAACAGATAAGGCCCACATAGTCAGGCAGCTCAGCCGAAGTGCAGTACGCAAATTCTTCGATAAAGAGGAGATGCCCCCGCCACAAGGGAGCTCCATCATGGTTTCAAGATTGGAAAATTATTGATCGAGCTTACTCTTGAGACCTGGTGGATGGTTTATGCTGCCATATCAATTATGTGTCATTTGATGCGCCCTCCTTCAATCGTCGATTGAATATGAAGATAACGTTGATATTTGGATAATCACCAATTTCAGCGAGCCACAACTTGTCTTGCAGAACCAGAAGATGAGCCTGGAGCGCTGGAACACCAAGACAGTAGCCAAGTACATAGTATACGTGTACAATCTAGTAAGCATTTGCTTCCTTACATTTGTGCTGGAGCACGAAATGCAGAAAGCCGTGATGATTTATTCCGCTTGCCGAGCTGGTATTCCTTGACACTTAATTCTCTTGTATTTAGAGTAGTGTACCCACAGAACCAGGCGTTTACCCCACTGGACTGGAGTCGATGCGTTATCCCAGCGGATCGAAACAGGGCGACCAAATTGATAGCCAATGACAGGAAAGAGTCTTGAGGAAAAGTTAGGGTGTTCGTAGACTGCATGTCGCTTGAGTCCACACGAATAAATTGAACGCAAACAATCACGGACTATCTCTGGGTACAGGTTTCAAGTACACTTTCAGCGGCCGTTTCTGCCACATTAAAAAGTTCTTCTGCTGGATCCAGTCATGGCAGTCCTTTGAGATGACCATGTCAAAGTTAAACATGATCAAGGCGAGAATGAGACGCATCTCGCTGTATGCAAGGCTATATAAAAGCTTAGTCACACCACGGGGATGGAGCAGAAAGTTGAGTTGAAACTTACTTTCTCCCCAGGCAATTTCTTGGTCCCACATGGAATGGTTGAAAAACTTCACGACGATCATTAGCGAACTGTGGGCTGCCCATGAAACGCTCGGGATGATATGAGTTGGGGTCGGTGAAGTGCTTTTCACGATGATATAGTGCCCACTGGTGCATTGACACATAAGTCTGTGTGACATGTCAGAAACGTTCGGGACAATAGGAGATCATAAATAGACCTACGTTTGCTGGTATATAGTGCCCAAGCACCGTGCAGCCTCCTCTCGGGCACATGCGCGGGAGACCGTTTGCTATGGGTGGGTACCTACGCAGACCTTCATCGAGACACGCGAGCATATAAGATAATTTGTTGACACTGATCAGGTTGATCTCATCTTGGCTGCGGAAGGTGGACCGAACTTCGTTTCTCAGATTTTGATGAGCTTCAGGGTTCTCGAGAAGGAAGTAGGTGACTCCACTTAACAGAGACGCTGTGGTCTCCGAGCCTCCAATAATCAGAATCTCGGCATTAGCGATCAGGTGATCCATGCTCAGGCCCTACATGTATGGGTGAGGATGAATCTTCGGCAAGCGTGGTTATTCGTAGCTTACCAAATCTTCTTTTCTCTTTAGCAGACTGTTGATCAAATCTGGTCGATCCTCGCTGGTAGACAATCGGCGGAGCATCTTAGTCGTGGTAAGGTCTTTATGCTTCTTCTGGGCGTCCTGGAGCGATTTCGGAACCAACAGCAATAGAAGTGTTCTGAACATGGGATAGAACGATATTGACTGGAGCATAATTCCCAACCGTCCCGATTCGAATATACTTTTGATCCAAGAATCATATTTTGCATTTTCCAAACAACCGAACGCTTCACCAAAAGCAAGATCACCAATGATATCAAAGGTAGTGAAATTGTACCAGTCTGAAAGGGCCACGGGCTGTTCACTTTTGCATTGCACATACAACTTCTCCAAAAGCAAGTCGGTGTATTTGCGAATCAAGGGCTCCTGATCTCGCATTGACTTCTCGGAGAAACCATGAGCCATGGCGCGACGCAGACGTTTATGCTGATCTCGCTCTTCGTTGACAATGTGTCGTGCTTCGGGAAACGGTCGGTAAAACCAATCGGCTTTGCCCAGCTCTTCCTCGCCGTTCTTGTGGCCCATAATGTCCTTCCAGGCGTCCGGATGCGAGAACGCAAGTTCATCAGGTGCAATACGGACAATGTCCCCGTAACGATTATGGAGGTCAAGCATATGGAATGGGAGCGTCCCTAGGAGTGCATAATAGCAATAGGGAAGGCGAGAAAGGGCATGGGAGACAGGGCCCGGGAACCGACTTAGTGGGTGAAAGAAGACATTATAGACAATTTTGGTGACATAATAAATGATGACCTGCGCAGGACAGTTAGATTCAGTGTGGTATTTATAGTAAGGAAGAGATATTACCGTGGAAATTAGTACTGCCAACCCCGTGCTACCGTCAATTACAAAAAGATTGTTCGTTGTGAGCATGTTCAGCAGTGTGACGACCATGCGCCAGTGGATGATAGAATATTCCAGGTAAGGTTGTTTCGGCCATATTTATATACAAGTAGGTGCTTTTCATGGATGTATTTGGAGCCATGCGCAGGCTGCCATAATTCAAAGTCCAGAATGATCTGAGAATAGAAACGCGGGTGGAGGCAAGCAAATAAACCTTCAATTAAAGGTTCCTACCAAAAAATGGAAAGCGAGTTCGAATGCGAACCCGAACCCGAACCCGAAGCCAACCCGAATTGTGGAACCCTGAAACACATAATAACAACAAGATCTGCACGACGTTGATGGTGAACAAGCCAACCATGTCTCGCCGAAAAACCACCTGTCCCCGTAGTTAAAGTAGATCTTTGGAGTTCTGGACCAGCAAGGGCATCCTAAAAATTGCCGTTGTAGCCAAAGTCCTTCGTCTGCATCTCTCAGCAGGAGAAAGGCAGAATCAGGCATAGTTTGTACTTGTTACATTCCGCTGTTCAGAAGGTTAATTCGACTGCCTAGATACAAGAAGACGTATATATGTATAGGCCAAAGCGACGCTCAACCCTCGCTGTCTACAATCTTTCAAGGAAAGTTATTCTCAAGAACCTCTTCCACTGTGAGAAACTCCCAATCATGACTTCTACGCAATGCGAGTTGTACTTGTATACACCCAGCCTTGCGCTGGCAATTGTGGCAGTCATTCTATTCTCTACCCTGACTACCATCCACATATACCGCATGATTGAGTCAAAAGCGTGGTTCGGCATATTCTTCGTCCTCGGTGGTCTGGGTAAGTATCCTGATCACTGATGCCCTCTCACTTCGTTAACAACATGTAGCACAATTGGTCGGATATACAGCGCGATCCTTTTTGACGCAAGATGTCTGCGATAGAGGCACGTACGGTGTGCAATCAGTTGCACTGTTGATGGGGCCGACATTGATTATGTTTTCCGTCAACCTAACTCAAAGCGAATTTGTCCACGTGCTCGATGCCGAACAATTTTGTTGGCTCCCACTGTCGTGGCAGAGGGGCGCCTATCCCACTCTGAACGTAATCTTAATGGTCATTCAGCTTGTTGGAGGGTGCATGACAGTCTCATCCTCGACTGCAACCGTGGTGACGGGGACGAAGCTAACAATTGCTTTATACGTGATCCAGACGATTTTTTGGGGATTCACTATGGCAGAAAATATCTGGATGAGCTATCGCTTGGGACGCCATCCTACAGCTGCTAGCAGCTGCGTGCTGGCTAACTGGAAGATGTGGAACCAATTGATCCCTTTAGCAGGCTCAATCATTGCCACTGGACGCAACGTGATGCGGCTGACAATGGCGGGCGGCATTGAGTTTCTCGTGGACTATGAATGGCCTTCGTACGCATTTGATGGGTATCAAATGGTGGTGGTGCTGGGTGCGTGGGGGATCTGGTACTTACCGGGGAAGTGTCGGGAACTATCTACTCGCGTGCGCTATACAAACCTCACTCGGCTGGAGAGAGTGGTGGATGAAGTGTAAGAGAGGTTTGGGTTTATTCTGAAATTTTATTGCTCGTTTTTGGTATTGTTAACATAAGGAACGGGAATTTCGCTGGCCCAGCAGTGATCTGCAATGAATGTATTTTGTACTTGCTTTCCGCGAGCTATTTCTACTTCATTATACCAACATTTTCGATAGCACGTGTATATAACAATCTAAGGTTGCTGTGTGTTTATATCTTGGGCAATTACAGAGTATTTTAAGCAATGATTAATCGTATAGTATCTTGAATATACTCATATCTTATTTCCGTAATGCCAAAGGTTGAATGCGCCAATGCATTCAAATTTGCAACCTATCAATGGCAACGGACGAAAAGCATCTAGCCCTACGCCCATTTATTGGCAACTCTAATTGACAAATCCTCCAGAGACGGCACTGCATCAAATTAAAATTAGAGACTTATGCGCCCATCTGCGACGATCCAATTGCGCAGTTCAACCGCCACCAGCGAGTCCACGCCATAGGAGGAGATATCCTGAGCAGCAGACATCCTTCGACTACTAGCCCAGAGATGCTGCCAATATCCTAATCAGCTCCTGGCAGACAAGTGCAACAGCATCTGCTGAGGAATTGACTCCGTTTTGTCATCCCGCAACTTGCCCTGTTGCGTATTACCTCCCTGGTGGAACTACGGTTTCCACTCAATCGTATGCACTGCATAGCAATGAGGCTCTCTCTAGGGCCCAGAAAAGGTATAGCCCCCGTTCTCCTAAAATACGACTATATATGAAAGTCCTGTGCATGCTAATGATAGATTTACTCTGTTGAACCATCGACCCTCGTCGGAGACTCCCGACCAACATGCCCTTCGGTGGCGCGTCCAAAAGTAAGTCGTCGTTCACTACCGAAACACGTTTCCATTATCGCCCTTATCGTTAACCACTTCAATCGAGTACAATGTGTACCGGTAATAGTTTCGCGTTAATGCAGATCCGACTGATGCGGCCTTCTTCCTATGTTGGTTTCCCGAGGTTCATATGACGTGTCGGAATGGCATGTAGAATGAGGATTTGGCACAGGAGCAGTACTTGATCATGGCGCCAAAGGGGCATCGCTTGCTGGTGGAAGCCTGAGTACACTTGCTCAACAGGGTAGCTAGACCATGTGGAACATATGGTGCAACAAGTTGAAGTCACTTGCAGATACATAGACACGATCTGAAGGTGGTGGAATAAAACCGACATGCATGAAAGAACATGTATGCCACTGCAAGTCTCATATTGTTGTCAGTATCTAACAATATTCTAAATCTTCGCCACCTCGGCCACCTGCGCCTCAAACAACTCAGCAGTCTCCCTCAACATAGCGTCAATATAATAGTCCCAGATACGGTGAGAACGCCAATACACCTCATCATGGCACTTGGAGGCGTCCGGCCCGGTCTCAGCATTCTGCCACTCGTATAGATTACCGATAATGCGACTACTTTCAACCAGCCACTGGGCGCGCTCGCGACGAACAGCATCATAAGTCTTAAACGCGGTCGTGATAAAAGCGGCTTTCCCCTCGGGACCAAATTTTGTCGCGTCCACTCTCTTCACAGCCATATCAAGCACGGCGCATAGAACAGCCGCGTCTTCAACACCACAGCCCGCACCCGCACCGTGATGCGGAGCCGCAGCATGAGCTGCAGCGCCAGCTATACAAACCGTTCCGCGAGAATAAGCATCTGGGGGTTGGTCGTACGTATCAAAAACAGCCCATCGATCAATAGGATCAGGCAGAAGGTTGATTATGGTTCGCATGGTCGGGCCAAAGCGAGAAAAAGCAGCCGCCACATCGGCCTTATTTCCCTGGGCCGTCCAACAGTCAGCATATGGCCAGCGATTGGGGTCCGTGACGAAGGCGACGACGTTCAACAGTGATCCATGGTCAAGTGGGAAGGTCAGAGCATGGGCATCCGGACCGAGGTGCATGAAGCGCATTGCCACTTTAGCGTCGCCCAGTGCTTCCCTGGCGCGATCCATCGGGATAAGGCCGCGCGCCGCAATTCTATCGCAAGAATTCCACTTACGATGGCCGCTTTGTTGTGCGACGCTATCCAACTCAAGGGGCCCTAGCTACGCTGGACTCGAATACGGCCTATCTCCACCAACAGATAAAGATGCATATGTAAGGGGCTCCAAGCCAGAAAGATTCAGTGCAGAAATTGACGCGTAAGACGCAGCAATCTTGACAGTTGGTACACAGACTCTTACCCCAAAGATCCGGTCAACGCCTTCTTGCAAGATTCTCGCCGCCATTTCCAGCAACCCAGCGGCTTCGATAAACTGGCCGTTTAAGTCAATTATGCTCATGGTTATGAGGGGCCGGATGTATGGTATACCCCCAAAAATCTGGACAATCTGAACCGGCTGAAGCAAGAGTGGGATCCTGAAGAGCTTCTCAGCTGGAGTAACCCTGTTCCTTTGTTGGATGAGACGTTAGAGCTGTAGTGTCACTGCATGTACATACCAGGAGCGGGTGGCGGGCTTTTGCAAAGCTTTCCTGCTCCGATCGTACTCTGTACAGTTGCGGCGATCTTCACCCGGAGTTTACGATCGGACTTTGGACTTGAGAGGGATCGGCATTCATTGCTAGCCTCAATGCCCAGACCTCGGGCTAATTCACATGACCATAAGCTAGGGCATATAGGTCCAGTCTACCCCTCTCGTACTACATGACTTTATTCCTACTTGATTCTTTCCCCGCCTCTCACTTATTCACCATGCATTTCCAAGGAGAGGGCAGCATTGACATTCCTGTGCAGGATATTATTTCCTGGATCTTCGACGAAGAACGATATGATACCGACAGGCCAGTAAGCCTATAACCTCCCTCCAATGGCAAGATGCCGCTCATGCAACACCACAGGTCTACATCGATGCCTCCGATACGGGCCGTTCCATCTCCTGGCGAGAAGCCCGCACTCTAGTGCGCCAGTTAGCCGCTGGTTTGCGAGCAGCTGGTCTGAAGGACGGCGATTGTGTGTGTCTTCACTCATTCAATGATGTATGCACCCCAACACAAAATATCATGTCCCCTCCGACGTATTTTCACTCACATAATGTTCAGATCTATTACAGCATCCTTGTGCTCGGGATAATCGCAGCCGGGGGAATATACATGGGCACTAATCCGAGCTATACATCCCACGAACTCGGCTATCACCTCCGAGCAGCACAGGTCAAATTCGTCATCAGTGAACCAGAGATGCTAGACCGCATGATCCCCGCCGCTGAAGGCAACGGTATTCCACAGGACCGCATCTGGACCTTCACAACGCGCGCATCACAGGTTCCAGCTACGATAGAACTCGCTCCTTGGACTGCGTTGCTGAAACACGGCGAAGCCGACTGGCGCCGTCTCAATGATCCCAGTCAAGCGAAAACCACCGTAGTAGCGAGACTGTTCAGCTCCGGAACGACTGGCCTCCCTAAACCCGTGGACTTTACCCAATATAATCTGATTGCGCAACATACGCTGGTGTATGATGCCCATCCCGTCCCATTCGAGGTCAGAACTCCCTCCCATCCCCATGTCGCATATAATGAATCCCCACCTAACAACTACTAGCCACGCCGAATCCTCTATCTCCCCTTCTTCCACGCCGCTGCAGCCCCATCTGCACACTTCAGCACCCTCCGTCTTGGCGATCCAGCCTATGTCCTTCGCCGATTCGAGCCAGACCTCTTCCTAACCACCGTCGACAAACAAAAGATAACCGAATGCACAGCCGTCCCACCAATCATTCATGCGATCCTCGCCCACTCCACGACCCCAAAATACTCCAAGTCACTACAATCACTGAAGATCATCCGCTGCGGCGCCGCCCCACTAGACAAAACAACTCAGGCACGTCTCCAGGCCCTTCTCTCTCCTGACGCAACCTTTACCCAAGTCTGGGGCATGACGGAGGCCTCCTGCATCGCGACCATGATACCCTACCCTGAACCAGACGACACAGGGAGTGTGGGCCGGCTACTCCCCGGTATAGAAGCGAAGATAATTGACACGGACGGGAACGATATCACTGCTCCTGACACAATAGGCGAGGTCTGTCTACGGGGCCCTACCATCGTACGCGGATACTTCAACCTACCTTCCGCTAACAAGAACGCGTTCGATGAAGATGGCTTCTATAGAACAGGCGACTTGGGGTACTGCGACGGCAAGACAAAAAAGTGGTATCTGCTCGATCGGAAGAAGGATATTATCAAAGTTCGCGGGTTCCAGGTTGCGCCGGCGGAGGTGGAGGGCGTGCTGAGGAATCATCCGCGCGTTCGGGATGTTGCAGTGGTAGGGGTATACGATGCGGCGGCGAAGACGGAGTATCCCAAGGCGTATGTGGTGAGAGAGGATCAGTCGCTGAATGAGGATGAGGTAAAGGAGTACGTGGCGCAGCGGTTGGCGAAGTATAAGAGGTTGGATGGTGGAGTGTCGTTTGTGGATGCGATTCCGCGTAATGCGAGTGGGAAGATTCTGAAGCGGTTGTTGGAGGATAAGAGAGATGTGAAGTTGTAGATGAGTTGTCCGGGAGCTAACAACGCATGGGATTTCATCCACGTTTCCAGTAGGTGGGCGATATGTCTAGCTACGTGGCCAAGTAGGCGGCTTCCGCTCCTTACTAGGTCCTCATTATCCCAAAGGAGCGCGATCGTCTTAGCGTACTTAGTAGACTATATGCGCTATAAAATAAGAGCCGGTCTTGATTCTCACTCTTATTTGAACCTTCCTAGGGTCGTGGTTGGACCAAGCATTTATCCGCTTTCCTGGTCTTCCAAGTCCTCTGTGACATTGTGTACTTCTAAAATATCTACAAATGAGCCGGCTCCATCATCGAGGTCACTGCATCTCCCACACAAGTGTTCAAATCGCGGAAAGTCATTCCCAGCATCCTGCGCGACTTGGAGTTATCAAAACCAAAAATAGGCTGTGGCAGGTCATCGGGCATATCGGTCGGAGGCAGCTGGTGAGCCAATTCGGGGTGCGTGGCACGAATAGCCTCCGCAACCTGCTTGTTCGAGAAGTGGCCAGCCACGGTAAAGAAGCGATGTCCACTGACCTCAGGCAACTCCAGCGCTTTACGGTGAGCGAAGGCAACATCACGGACATCCACGAAAGTGAAAGGAATGGCGATAGGCGCGCCCCCATCTTTCCATTTTCCGAGCATCAGGTCACGGATAATGTGGTTTGAGGTGTTTAATGCTTTGAGATCGGTGACGTGTCGAGGCTTTGGTCCGAACACCAGTGGAGGGTTTATTGTGACGAGGTCGAAGTTTGGCTTCTCCTTTTCAACGAACTCGAAGGCGGCGCGCTCGGCGAATATCTTCCGCTCTGTGTCAGTAGGGGATAGTGTCGTGTGGAGATAAAAGGGATTATACCTTGCTCGCGCGATATGTGACCTCCGGTACCATGGCCTCCTCCCAAGTCACCGACCCGTAGCTGGTTTCGTCGTACACCTCTGGGTGGTTGGGGGGAGTGACAATTGTAGCCGAAGACGAAGTCACAACCACTCGCTTGACGGTCGGTGCGTAAGCCTTGATGGATGCCAGGAGTCCGGCGGTACCCTTGATTGCTGGGTCAAGGAAGTCCGATTTAGGATCGGTGTAGTTGAAATGATACGGCGAGGCCGTGTGGACGACCAAGTCTAGGTCGGAAATGGATTGGATAGCCTAGTTTTTCATGTTAGCCAACCCTCGGAGTGTCTGCTTATGCGTGTAGGACAGTGAGGGTTACCTCATCGTAGGCCCCATCTTTTGCAATATCCTCCACCACCACGTACGAGGCAGCCTGATCGCCGGTATTCGACAGCGAAGTGAGAAGCTGTCGGCCCTTATCTTGTGTGCGAACAGTCACCACCACTTGATACCTAGAATACGTCAGTGTCGTGAGCAGAAGGATTTCCGTCTGGTGGAAATGCTTGCTTACCCAGCGTCCAGCAGCTCGGTCAGAATGTGCGAGGCGATGAAGCCTGTGCCACCTACATAATCCAGAACATGTTGGTTCATCTGCTGCGGAGTTTTGGCAATAATGATGTCCACTGACCTGTAAGCAGTACCTTCTTTGCAAGAGAGCCCATCGTGAGCAGTCAGTGAACAAACTTCGAGCTGCTGGTTGTTTGCTTCCCTGTTAGAGGGTAACACTGGCTACAGCAACAATTATAACAGACCACTGCTCATGGCGGTGAGAGGACCTTCCATTCTGGGCTCGGACAAAACATTCTGGGGTGATTAGTCGAGATGGAGGAACTGTCAGATTTCTCCGCATACGCGCGGATGCCCAAGAACATGGCAGGTCCGCATGAGAACCTCCGAGGGTGCCCGATCTACTTCCCACTCAGCCATTATTATATCGACAATACGGCAAAAAAAAAGCAATAACTAGGAGGGATGCAGTCAAATGCCATATAGACCCATAGGTATAAGCTTGGAATCTATAATCACGGTAAACACCTCCGGCTCAGGTCCTTCGACCAGAAAGCCGAGTTCGTCAGTAAGAACCATGGCAGTTAACGATTCCAGATCCGAGTCTGAAGACCTCAGTCGGTACGAGGATACCCTGGTCAAGTGCCAATGCTGCAGACCTACAGCCACATCATGCTCCCTTTTGCCATGCCCGAGGGGGTGTCACAAGACACTATCGTCGCCGATCTCGAGGCTGCAGTGCGCCAGGTCCGATCCCATGTGCCCGGGGTGGCCGGCAAAGTTGACAATGTCAGTAAAGGCCCCGGAAACTCAGGTCGACATGATATATTGTTGCTTCCTGCCCATTCACATATCCTCTGGTCGTGGTGCGCGATGATTTGCACGCCATCCCTGGTTGTCTGGAAATTCAATGTTTAAAGGCACTCAACTCCAGGTTAGACTTGTGTCCACTAGCCACAACAGATGCCTTTCCCTAGCGCTACGAGACCTCCGAAGAGGGCCCGTTCCGGATAATCCGCCTTCAGGCCAGCTCTGTTGAAGGGGGAGTCTTTCTCGACTTTGTTACTCAACATAACCTGACCGGTGCGGGCGGTTTTTTCAACTTTGCCCGCCATGGCTATGCGGGGAGAAGAATGGAACAGGTCAATCGCGATCGGCGCAACCTCAACCAATACGTATTTAGATCACGCCCACCATACCCGTCCCCAAATCACCGATGAGCAGCCCGTCATGCGCCCTGATCCAGCCCAGTGGCATTTTCTTGCGCTTTACCGCTACCAAACTGGCTGATATGAAATATCTCGCTAGTATATCTATGACCTCAGTCCCAGAGGTGCCCTACATTACGACCGATGATGCCCTCAATGCTTTCTGTTGGAAGAAGTGCATAACAGTACGGCATCGGCGACGGAACACGCCAGATGCGCGCTCGCGGTTCTCGCGAGCCATGAACGGCTGAGAAGTACTAGGAATTTGAGCCGATTACACAAGAAGTTTTGTTCACAATGTTACCACTTGGCTCACAGTCTAGGAGCTGGTTGATCTCCTAAAATGCGCGCTACATGCGCCGTGAACTGAGCCGGGCGAATACCGCTTACCACGTGCAGAGCTATGTGACATTCACTCGCACAGGAGTCTGGCAAGTCTACTATTGCATATGACGGACGCTTCAACCCAGACACGGACGTGGCATCGTTGTCGGTGCTCCCGTGGATCTGTTCCCAGTCTTTGGAAAGCTCAGGCGACCCGATTGCATTCGGCGACCGAAATTTCCTGACATCCCGTTTCTCAGTCTGCTTTACTTTTTTCCACAAGAGCTCTCAAGGAGACTGTGACTCGTTAACCTGTCTGACTGATGCTGATATAGAGGCTTTGACTCAGGACCCGGAGTGGATTTCCATGGTGGAGTACATTGGGTAGTGTTAGAGGCACTTCATGAAACTCCGAATCAGGGCGTCAGACTAGTTGCTAATCTGCTCTTCCAGGAATGGCTCTGAGGGACAGGGCTGGTCGGAGTGAATGGTAATATCAACTTTCGCATCGCGGTCTTGTTTGCCGGGAGGGGCCCGGTGATTGATGCAGATGCTATTATTTCAGCATCTTCGGCGGCATTGTCTCTTCCTACGATGCATATCCATGGGCTGCAGGATCCCGGACTGGTATATCATCGGGAGCTTCTGGAGAGGTATTGCGATCGTCAGACGGCTTCTTTGATCGAGTGGGGGGAAATCACTGGGTGCCCATCAAACTGAAGGTGTCTCAGGTGGTGGTCGAGGAGGTTTTGATGGTTGCGCAGAAGCGTGGCACGTTCGGCGATGCAAGGGGGATGATGGCCTCTTGATGGCGGCGCCATCCCTTTGGATCATTAGGAATGGCTTTTGTATTTCCCTTCATATAGGACTGGGTTGAGCCATCCTTGTGGCCGACAAACTACTGATGAAATGATGATGAAATGCTCATAGACCATAGAGTCTATAACTTATTCTTAGAAAGCTCATTTGTGGTAACTCTAGATAAGTCGTACATATGTGGGTGTTGATTGTGCACTGTTCATTCCTCGCTTATTTACGATAGTTGTGCGCAAATGCTTATATTGCTGTCACAGTTATCTGAATAGCGATGTGAGCTAGACTCCACCATCTGCATTTAAGGAGAAAACTCTGATTCTTTCTACTCGCGACGTGGCTCCCACAATGTCGTGCCGCTTGTCCTCATTTTATGAGATGGACAATTGTTGAATGGTCTCATGCCAATGAAGCACACTTGATATTCTTCTTCCTCGCCATTGAACCTATCTAAGAAAGAAAGAGAACAAACAGTAAGTGACACACAGTAACAGTTAACGTCAGGGAATATTCCTCCACAATTTCTGCACATGGAGCGGTTGTTGTTGAGTTGGTTGATTGATGTGCCATAAAAAAATCATTTGCCGGTACAGCGGCGGCAAGGAAAAAAAAGATGGTCCCAGAGGGGCTCGAACCCTCGACTTTGACGTTATTAGCGTCACGCTCTAACCAACTGAGCTATGGGACCCAGTTGATATATGTCGGGGTTTTCTATAGCCTTAAGAAGAAACACAATTTTCACGCACTTTGAGATTTGTCTACCCTGTACTCCCCACCACCATGGCGACACCATAGTAACAATGCCGCGATTATGATCTTTCTTTTATATCAGATGAATCCCACAAATGAATTGTGTGGTAAATTTATGTAGGTTCAACAGTAACATACGTGAAATTGGTTCGTCATTATGAGTGTTTATCGAATCATGATCTTCGGATATATATTTTGATGCAGCCCTTCTAGCAGTTCGACAAATCAAATTAACAGACCAACATTATCATCATCGCCCTCATCGCAGACACGAATCGGATGTCCCCCGTCAATACGCCAAAGACAATTACTATTAACACATAATATTCCCAAATAAATCTCAAACGTTGACATTCTACGATGTGGTCGCTGCCTATCCAGAATGATACCACCCGGACTTCGTGTTTCACGATCAACAGCAGACGTTTCGAGCCAACACTAACAATGAGACACGACCAGGATGCCTAGACATAAACACACAAACTCATCGAGTCAGTCTCAAGGTTCTAAGCTGGCAAGGCGACATTAGTTGTTCCATCAATCAACACCCGAACACCGACGATCCCTCAGGACCATGGCCCTTCGCTTAAGCCATCCCTATAGACTCGAGGCATGTCACCACGTGTGACACCCCTCGCCATCGGGACCCCAAATGATTCATCCCCTGCTTTAGAATTAACAAAAGTATAATAAATAAATCATATTACGGACACTATCGCGGAGTAAATTGGTCTTCATCTCCACCACGATGGTTCCTGGCACATGGCAGGCCACGCGACTCCATAGGTGGATCCGGGCATCCTGCCGCAACATGTCGGAAAGCTTTGCTCCACGTGGGCATTAGCAACGAACGATATACGTCGTATGGTGCGTAAATATAGCATGGCTGCAGGTGCCCCATGGTGTTGTATGCATTTTTGGGTGTTTTGACGTATGTATGTTTGGTATGTTTGGGATACCGGTATGTAATGGGTTACACATGGTATGTATGTATGTAACGTATTACGGTTCAACCATATCCGTAGTACTACCCACCCAGGCAGGCTAAACGCCGAAGGATCCGACCTGCAGATGCAGGGAGCTGAAGCTGCACCAGGATGATCTTATCAGGAAGAGCTAGTGAGGCTTCTGTCTACAGGGAAGCGGCGAAACACCGGCCGAGTACCGAATGTAACAACAGGATGGCCCATGCTGACAGTGGCCCAGAGTCATTGTGCAGCAGAATTCCTACCTTCGTTTCTGACACTGCACTATTTTGTCACCTGTCGTCCATCATACGACTAAAAATCAATCATCCTATCAAACAAACACTGCCACCATTATCATCCTCAAGGCACAATGGATACATCGACCCTTCTCAACTCGATAACCTGGCAAAACACCCTCCTCTTCGCAGGAGGGGCTTACATCCTCCTGAACCTGAAAGGCCTTCCTTTCGTCTGGCATGTTCGTTTCCCTTACTCTTACCTCACTTCAGGCATCTCTTAGCCCAATTGCCGAACCAACACACCTCCCCTTACTAAACGAAGAATCAAATACAGATCCGCCTCTTCAACTGCCTAAAAGAACACATCATCCTTAACCGCGCCCGTAAAGTGGACATAACCACTCATGGCCCCCAATCCCTCTTCTACCCAGTCATTACGACATCCTCCACCCCGCTCCTGGAGATTGACTACAATATGCACAAGTCCAACGCCACCTATTTCACCGACCTAGACATCAACCGTGTGCACTTGATCTCTAGTTTATTCAAGAACCAGCTTGCGCTAGGCTTCTCGGGTGGGGAATTAAACATTGCCCTCGGTTCCACGGCATGTGTCTTCAAGAGGGAGATAAAGCCCTATCAGAGATATGAGATCCATACGAGGGTACTGAGCTGGGATGAGAAATGGGTGTATCTCGTTAGTCATTTCGTCAAGACCGGCGGGAAGAAAGACAAAGGGGAGGTGGTGTTCGGAGGCAGTACAACGGGTGTGAAAGATGAGAAAAGTATCTTAGCCTCTGCTGTCACCAGATATGTTTTCAAGAAGGGGAGGATATCGGTTAGTCCGGAGACGGTGCTCTCGCGGGCTGGCTTGTTGCCAGAGAAGGGGGTTAAGATGAAGGATGGATTTTGGTCATGGGAGAGGGTTGAGGAGGAGAGGAAGAAAGGATTGGATGTGGCAAGGTCGTTTCTTGCGTTGAATGGGTTGCATGCGATGTTCAGGGGAGATGGGAGGGCGATTGGGGTGTTTTGAGGTGTGGTCCGAGTGACTCATAGACATGACTAACTTGGTGTTGGTGAAAGGGAGCATTGAGTTTAGAAAACTCAGATGGGATGTTTTAGAGCTTGCGAGATAGAGATATAGACAACTCAGTGAAAATTGAGTATATGCAAGTCGTGATCAATGGTCCAATATGCCCTGCGCTGTTCAATTCACTACATTCGCATTGTTGCGCGGACTGAGAGATATGTCTCGTAACGTGGCGGCATTTGTTCTAATATAATATGGCTAATCTTACTAACAGACCGCACATTGCAAAAGGAATAGGATAAACAAAACGATATGGTCAAAGAGTCAAGTATACTATTGAGCATTCTGGTATCAACAACGCCAAAATCATATATAAGCTAAAATACAACTATGCAACGACAATCCCCGATGACGGAGCGACCTTTTCCAACCCGCGCTCAGCATCTGTATACTCTTGCCACTAGGAACGACCAAGTTAGGATTTGGAAACTTAGATAACAAAGGCAATTGACTCACCTCTGCCAACACCTTCGCAATAATCGGCGACTTCGTCAACCGGAACACCTGCCGGAAGTATTCCTCGCTGACTTCAAATGGCCGCGCCGTCAGGTTCGGGATGTACTTGCCTACCAGGCGGTCCGCAACCAACGTATCTTTGTCAATATACTTGTAGAGACATGCACGGAAGGCTGTAATGCCTGGGCTAAGGAAGGATGAGTGGAAGGGCACGTCGATTCCTCGGAGCGGCACGGTGGCTACGCCACGCTCGAGTTGAATGGGTTGGGGCTTGGCTTTGGCGGCGCTGGCGCATTGATGGAGTGTATCGAGTATGCTGGCGCGGATATCATCGACGGGTTGTGTGCCCTGGAGGATAGCCTGGAAACTAGATTGATGGCGCTTGATTTCGCCGATCAAGGAGGAGAGGGTGTCGAGGGCTCGAAGCTTGAATGTATTAGCAGGGTTTTTATACGCAGCCCAAGTTATTGACTTACATCACCCGCGCAGACGTATTGAGAATTAATGACGTTGTAATTTACGATTTCAAGCAGCCAGCCGGTTTCGCTGGCAATCAGCGACACCAGGTACCGCAGGCGGTCTTCGTTGAATGCTAGAAAGAGAGTCAGTAAACAGTCACGGAAAGCGGCAATGGGACATACACTTCGATAGTCGACTGGGGTCGACGGCGCACATGGAAAAGTTTGACCTTCCTTGCTCGTCGCGTTCGACTGCCATCTGCATTGTCAGACCGCGGTAGAAAACCACAGATACCAAACTCTCAATAGGCATAATTTCGGCAATGGCTGCCAAGGCGGAGTATTCCCCCAGAGAGTGGCCAGCAAAGCTGCAGTGATCTGCCAACAGCCCCTTATCTTTCATGTCTTCAATGATAGCCTTCTCCATGAGGGTGAGTGCTGGCTGGGTAAATTGGGTCGAAGATAGAAGGCCAGTGCTGGATCGGAAGGTGTGTGACTTGGTATCCTCTGTGATGTCCTTGAAAATCTTCTCCGATGTTGTGCGCCCATCTGCATGGATCATCTCACAGCGAAGGGCCATGTAATTGTCGCGGATCGCTCGTCCGCGAGCACCA